TATTAACACTTTAAAGGCATCAACAATGTTAGCTTTAGTATTTTTTTAAAGTATAGTCTTCAGTCATACTTTTAAATAAAGATACCTTATCTAGTATTTCTTTCTGCAATTCCCTTGAAGATACTGAATCTGTAACACTGTGAAATATAACCTAATTCTGTTTTTGTCTATAAGATTAGTCTTAAAGAAATTCAAAGCAATGAAAATATTTTAAAAGTTGTTCTGATACATAGATTTAAGTTATATGTTCATAGACTTAGAGCTGAAAGGGCATTTAGAAAGCTGAATCCAACCCTTTTGTTTTACAGATTAGGAAACTGAGGCAGTGATTTGCCCATGGTCACACAATTAGTATGTCTCTGAGGCAAGATTTGAACTTGTCTTCCTGATTCCAAGTCCAGAGCTCTATTCATTCCAACGCCATTAACACAGTAAGTCATAAAGTACCGAGGAAACACACAGAATAAATCCCATATAAAAATATAAGAGAGATAGAGACAAAAGGCCACTATGAAGTCCTTTATAGATTTGGCTGCTTTCAGAAAGAGACTCAGAAACTTCCCTCAGTGCTTAGGATCTTTTCATTCTAGAACATCTCACCAACAGGTCCACCCCTTTTACCATTACTGAGTTCCTAGGCCCAGGCCAGCCATGTCTGATTCCCCTGCTGGCTGTGCTTCTGACTTTGTGAACTCTGCCACCATGCCCCTTCGCACCCCATTCAGTCCCCTTTTATATGCTGTCTTCTCCCACTGGAAGCTCCTTGAGGAGCTTTTTTTAAAGGTCTATATTTGAGGACAACTCACAATTCTGACCTGGTAATTAAAAAAAAAAAGCAGGATTGGGGCCAGAGGTCATGGGCTTCAGCATCAGCTCTGTCATTATTACCTTTGGGACCCTGGGCAAGACAACTTCCCTGGGCTTTGGTTACTAGCTTTTACCTATTCCCTCAGGGAGCCCTTCCATCTTGGAATCCATATAACTATTTCAGGTGGATCTATGATGTTTCATATAACATATTTTTCCTTAAAAAAACAAATCCAATTTTAAGAAGATTTACTGTAAGTTAGCAGAAAAGCTGCCACACCCCTCCCAGAAAGCCATACTCAACTTTCATCCCAAAGCCCAGAAACCAGACTGGCAAGTACAGCAGTCAAATTCCTGTCTTTGGATATCCCCAAATGGATTTTCAGAAGTGGCTTGTAGAAAAAAACAAAACAAACGGTTTTGGGTTTTTGTTAAGTGGTATTTTTTTTTAATCTTCAATTGATCTAAGTTCAAATTATATACTATCTTCTTGGAAAAAATGTTACTGGCTACATTGAAATTTATCCAATTTTTTGGGGGGGAAGGGTACCGAAATATACTATTTCAGCTACAGCGGTTTTTGCTGATTAAGAAGTATTTTTATAAAACCTCTGAAAACTCAAGGAAAAGTGGAATATGTACACTTCTGCCCACTAAAAACTCCTCACTTTTTTTTCTCAGAAAAGAACAAACAACTGATCATTTGTTGAGGGTCAGGAGAAGAAGAAAACACAACGACGTATCAGCATGAAGCCAGATTTGGTCTCCCTGCTATGTCAATTTTTGAAGAAAAAAAAAATCAACCCACATTAACCATTTAAACAACTTCAAAGATGAAGACAGATGGCTGCAATAGCAAGGTCTTCAGTAGAGTGGAGAGGCCTAACCACAAAAACAATGGAAGAGGAAATCGAGGGTAACTGAAGTTGGCAATAAGCTTTTTTTTTTTCCCTGTCCATGGAAATACACATTTAGGGATTCAGCGCACAAAAACTATACATTTTGTACAGTTTAAAAAAAACCCAGAACATGCCAAAAAAAAGCTTAATTGTGATTGAAGAAAAGGAAATGTCATGTAAAAGGTCAAAGCCCATTTCTATCCATCTCATCTTTGTATCAACAGATGAACATCTGTCATTTTTTCTCTCAAAAAATTTTTCTAAACTAAATCTTTGACATCTTTTGATTGTTTTTACATCACCAAAATTTCTACTAGTATCCTTTCTCTACCCCGTCATGGATAGCAATCCTATAAAATAAATAACAATTTAAAGGGGAAAAGAAAAAGAAGAAAATCAGCAAAGCTGATCAAAACATTCTAAAAGTCTGAAAGTATAGGCAATGTACCACACCCTGTGGACCTCTCACCTCTGCAAAAGAGGGGTAGGTGTGTCAATCAATTAACATTTATTAAGTACCTACTATGTGCCAGGCACCGTGCTAAGCACTGGGGATAAAAAGAAAGGTAAAAGACAGTCCCTGTTCTCAATGGGCTCGTAGTCCAATGGAGGAGACAATTGGTAACTATCTATGCACAAACAAGATACACAGAGGATAAATTGGAAATAATCAACAGAAGGAAGGCACTAGCAATAAAGAGTATTGTGAAAATCTTCCTATATAAGAGGGGATTTCCGCAGGGACTCAAAGGAAGCAAGGGAAGCCAGGAGGAGGGAGAGTATGTGGGTGTGGAGGGCAGCCACTGGTGGCTTGAAGAAGTGGACATGGAGGTGAGTAAAGTTCAAGAAGACTGGAAAGTGGGGGGGGGGAGCGGGGAGAAGCCACAAAGGGCTCTGAACGCCAGAAATTTTTCTGATTCTGGAGGTAATAGGGAGTCATTGGAGTTTGTTAAACAGAGGAGGGTATGGTGTGGTGATGGAGTTGGATCAGCGCTTTAGGAGGAACAGCTGAAGAAAAGATGGACTGCACTTGGGAGAGACGGGTGTCTACTGCAACAGTCTAGGCATCTTTGTACGTGTCCTGACAGAAGGCAGCAAGGGTCTGGGAAGGTTTCCACTTACTGCTCTGCCACCTGATCTCCAGCCCCAGGTGAGAAGAGCAGGGAGGCTGCTTTCCATCTCTTGTTGTCTGTCCCCTTACAGCAGGCCTGCATAACGCTGCTCTTGCGGCTCGCCAAAGAACTTCGGGCAGTCCTCAAAAAATATAAAGGAAAACATCTTTTGTATGGACAGGAAATCCTTCGGCGTGCCATAAGCGGCCTGTGGGCCGTAAGCGGCCAGTCAGTCAGCCACAGGTTGTGCAGGCCTGCCTTGAGGAAAGCTGCTAGAGAGCGGCAAAGCAACTTCCACCTCGGCCAGGATGTTCCAGAACATGCTCCCAACCAGGATGTGGAGGTCGCCCAGTGCAAAGAGGAGCCATCTTCCTTGAGACCTCAGGTCTTCCATTTCTGGCTGCACAGTTTCCTACCTAATCTCCAGGCTCTTCTGGGATGAACATTCTCACATCAGTCATATTCTACACATCTCAGTGATTCTGAACTCCCTACACCATCATCCAAATCCCATTCCCTATCCGCCACCACCCAATTCCTTACTTCTACGCCCCTCACCCTTCCCACGCCAAATGCCATCCACTCCTTCCATTGTGAGCCCTGGAATGCCTGCTTCATAGGCAACAAGCTTACTTCATCCTAAGCCTTTTCCTTTCTTGCTCCTTCCATCTTTTAGCTATCAATCAATCCATCAGTTGGTCAACTAACATTTTTTAAGGGCAAAACTTACTTCTGCCCTCCAATGACACAGACTCCCTGGCCACCTTTTCCAGTACTGACTGAACTTTCACTCATTTCCCTTGGCTCAAAAGTCAAAGTGGAGAAGTTGGAAGACTCTGTGCTCCCCATTTCCAGATTCTCCCCCTTCCTCTTTCACTCAGTAACCTCTCTTCCTTTGGGATTCATGCAGCTCCTATCAACCACTCAATCAAAATCCTGATAGCTATTGTTACAGACCCCCAGATCATTTCCCTTCCTTCCTCAATGAGTTAAGTACCTGGCTCACAATTTTTTTCTCCTCCTCAACTCATGCCCTCATACTTGGGGCCTTCAACATTCACACTGATTCTCCTTCAAACACTCTTCACTACTCAGTTCTTAAACCTACTCACCTCCCATGAGCTACTCCTCCCCACCTTTACCACACACACAAAGGTAATCTTAACATCAATCTGGCCATCACCCACATGTTCAGAGATCTCAAAATCCCCTTATCTTACCATGATCCGTTGGTTTTACACCGCTCCCTCTGCCTTTCCTCACCAAACCCTACTCTTTGTCCACACCGTGACCCCCACTCCCTTGACTCTTCAGTTCTCTCCTAGGCTGTCTCCCCTGTACTAGACACTGTCTCCTCTTTTCCCCATCTTGAAGCACTGGTGAACCAGTCCATCTTTACACTATGCTATTGAATCCTTGGCCCCCTTAAGATATCGCTGATTGCACCCTTCCAAGCCTCAGCCTTGGGTAACTTTCATCATCCATTGCCTCTGCTTCTACACACTTTCTACTGAATCAAGGAGAAAATCAAGCAACCATCCTGACCAAGCCCACTACATATATGTCACACTACTCGACTGGGCCCTCACTGATGCTCGGTAATCTTGCTATACCTCCCCAATGAATTCACTATCCTGCTTTCCACAGCAGCTCTTCCAAACCTCTTCATTCCTCCTCCAGCCTTCCACGATTCTCCCTCCAACTCTCTCAGCAGAGAATCTTGCCTCATATTTTACAGAAGAAAATTGAGGCCATTTGCCATGAGCTCCCTCTTCTCTCTTATCTCCTATCACTCAGATGCCTTCTGCCACTCTCTCCTCTTTCACCCCTCTCTCCCATGAAGAAGTCACCATACTTTTAGCTGCCCCCAGGAACTCTGACTCCCTTTCTCCTGAAGCAGAGTGCTGTTTACAAATGCACAACATCCTCCCAGAGGTAGTGGTGTCTCTAAGCAACAAAATCCTGCTGATGATTGTAAAGTCTCCCTTTACAGAATATCTCTTTCTTCCCAGGAGGAGAAGCGGGGAAACGGTGCAATGGACAAAGTCCTGGGCCCAGGGTCAAGAAGACCTGAGTGCAAATTTGACCTTAGACACTTAACTAGCTCACCCGTATAAAGGGGATGATAAAAGCACCTACCTCTCAGAGTTGTTGTGAAGATTCAAGGAAATGATATTTGTAAAGCACTTAGCACAATGCCTGGCACGTAGTCATAAGTAAATAAAATAAACGCTCTTTCCTTTTCTTTTCCATGGGAGCTTTCTTCATAGGACCCCCTTTAATCACTGGATTGAGATTTCTGCCTTTGTTTTCCCGCTTCAATGCCATCCTTGGCCACCTCACACCATTCTTCTTTCCGAGAGGCCACAGTAATTATCTTCTCTTCATTGTTCACCACTGATTTGATTACGGCACATCAACAACCTCTCTGGTCTTCCTCCTTCCTCCTTTTATGTGCTCTTCTGTTCTGCACTGTGAGTCTTCCCCCAAACACTGATTCACCTCTAGCCAAGATGTTGTAAGGTTTAGCCCATTGTGTTTTGGGCCTGTTTCTCCACCATTATGTCTTCAATTTAATTTCTTTCACCTCTGCTTTCTTGTGTATTTTTAAAAAGAAATTTCTTAATGGTCCCTCTGTTGTAATTTTGTTGTTGCTCTTTTTAACTTTATAGGTGTCTTTCTCTGCTGCCTAGTTTCTTTCCCTTTTTTTCTGAGGGTAATTTATTTTCTTACTTGCTTGTGTCTTTCTCAGCTGCTGTATTTTTTAAACCTTTCCTGTATTTCTCTTGACTGCAGTGTCTGCAAAGCAAATGATCTCTCATTTTTTTGGTAGGAATAACTTAGAAGCCTCTTTCACTGAAATTCCATCTTTTTGCATTGATTAGGTTCAGATTTGCAGGGTATGTCACCTTGTGTACGTTTCATCTTGAGCTCCTTTGTCCTTCTGTGGTTTCTGGTGGGTGAGGAACAGTTGAGTTATTTGAATTTCCTTTCTTTCACATTTGAAGGTCTTTCTCCTGGTCATTTTCAGAATCTGTTGTTTTTCACTGGAACTGGTATTGGAATGAGATAATGCATATTATAAACCACAAGTGGCTAATAAATGCCAGCTCTTAGTATCTTCTCTCTTTTTAACACTATACATTTTTTAAAGCTTCATATACTTGCTATAGACTTTCCCTTCATTACTCTCTTCTTTAATGTTCTTGGAGTGATCTTAGAGTTTGGTCATATAGTAGCAAAGAGACGTATTATATCTTTGTTACAAAAACTGATACAAATATTTTATCATTTTTAACTCAGGATTTAAAAAAAAATGAAACCTAACAAAAGTTCATAAAGGTTGGAAGAAAAAAAATGGTTATAGTTACAATATATTCTTAATTCTCAGGTAAGTGCTGTGGGAAAAAGTGATCTTTAGTATCATGCTGGACCCATCTGCCCCCTAATAGTAAGTTAGTATATCACTGAGCCAACTGTGCATGAGTTTCACAACAGCTGGCCTGTGAAAATACATACCTATTAGTCTTCGTTCTTGAGGTAGCTGGACAGCTGTCTGATCTGCAAATCTGCAAAGAATCATGTGTTCCTAAAAGAAAAAAGCAATAGAGTAAGGCTTTAGTTCAGGCTTCTGTTCCAAAGAAGTTTTTTTTTTGACTATTATTATTTCTACTTAATAGTAAAGTGAGAGGTGGCATGGCATAATGGAAAGCGCTGAACTTAAAGCCAAGCCCTGGGTTCAAGTCCCATCCCTGACACATCCTGGGCATCTTTGATCCTGGACAAGTCCTTTAACTTCTCAGGGCTTCTAGGCATCCAGAGAAGGTGCAGACCTGCACTGTGAGAGGGAGTGTCCTCACTTTGGAGTTCCCTACACCAACGAAATCACAGGTCAGTCACTGTCCCTGAATAGTAGGGACATACCTTCTCACTCCAGTCACACACACACACACACACACACACACACACACACACACACACACACACACACACACACACACCCCTTTTGCTATTTAACACAACAAAAGTTTATACTTTTTAAAATAAAGTGTAATGTTTTCTTTTTTTCTTTTAAACTAAGATTTCTGAAAAAGTGCCAGCTTTGTGAGATGAGCACTCAGTCATGTTTTCTTCCAGGAGACTGATCTTCAGGTGCAGCTAATGAGAAATCACCTTCTGGCAATTGGCCAGAATCTGAGACCCGACGAAAGCCTTAAGCAATCAAGAACTGCTTAGTTGCCACAATGTTCTAGGAGTGCCTATGATGCAATGGTTTTTCCCCTTAAGAAAATGTTTTCTTTGAATGCCAGTAATGATAATAACTGAGATTTTATTTCATTTTCAGTACAAAGCACTTTTATATACATTGTCTAATTTCATCTGCACAGTGAGGTAGGTAGCGCAAGTATCGTTATCTTCTTTTAGTAATTGAGTAAACTGAGACTCAGAGAGCTCAAAAGACTTGCCCATCATGGCGTGGCTCCTAAGTGTCTGGGGGATCCTATCGGCCCGTCTCTGGCCTCCGAGTCCAGCTTTCTACTAGACCACAGAGTAGTAATAAAGTCTCACGCGAATGGCGTCCAGGGATTTTTACCCAGTGACAGCAGGGAGAGGGAGAATTGGTGGATAATTGAGTGTTAGCTATTCCAGTCCCCAGGGATCTCTACCTGACAGCTTAATCACTGCTATATTCTCTGTTGCTCTGTCCCTTCCTTCCACCCACCCACCAATTTAGTGAAGATATATAATTAACTCTCATTTTTCTCTTGTCCCCTACAACTTTATCTAAGTGTTTCTATATCTTACAGAAAAAAAGAATCTAATAGAAAGGTTGGAAATTATTTTCTACTGTGAAAAAACTGAGAGTTTCCCCTCAGTGACATAATTTTAGGAGGCTTTTGGTTACTGAAGGAGAAGCCAATGGAGACCTAACCATTTTGCCCAGCACTCTTAATTAATGTGTGGCCAGGGCCAGCAGAGACAGAAGAGGGACAAATGAATGCTATATAACAGCTGTTTTGGTAGGACAGTGACATTTTCTAAGGGAACAAAACTTTCCCATCTACCAGTTGAACCAAGGATGAGTCAATGTCCATCATTTGGCCTCTGAGGCCCTTTGTTCATTAACGAGGAAACTAAGGCAATTATTAATTATTGCTGGGGAACATAGTTAACTTTAAAAAAAAAAGATTTTTCTCCTGATGTTCATGTGCTTAAAAAATAAAGGTGAACTAGAGAAATGGTCATAAGGAAGGAGGTTAAGTAAATTAGGTCTGAAAGATTTGTTTTCAAAGCCAAGTGGAGAAAAGAGAATGCTCTAAGAGAAAGGCTACATATTCAGGAAGGATAGGAGGCTAATTAACGGATGTAGAGGGAAGTCAGAACTATTCAGAACTTTTTTCCTCTGTCAGGGAAGACAGTTTTTGGAAAGGAAGGGACAAAACAGAAATGACCAACAGTGAGTTATATTACTAAGGATTAGTGAGAAGAAAGTAAGAGAGTACTTACCTACCTTTGATGAGTTCAAGTCATTAGGTCCTAACATTTCAGGATACAAGTGCTTAGCAAGTGCTTTATCTATCTATCTATTGATCTATCTCTGTCTATCAAAAAACTTACTGGCACAATTGAACTCTGCAGTGATCACTGAAAAGTCTGCTGAGAATGAAAGAAATGCTTCAGAACTGGGAAGGGCAGACAAACAGGGAAGAGATTTTCAAGTTACTGGCTAGTGAGCCTGATTTTCATTCCTAGTCAACTTCTAGAATGCATTTCTTTTGATAAAAGGATTAGCAGAATGCTCTCTCTCTCTCTCTGTATAAATAATTTGAGATCTCAGAAAAATATGACAATATCTTTCATCATTGTCATGTAGAAAATTCAGACAATTTTGAACTAGATGACTGTTCATTTAGATGGATTTGGAATTGGTTAGAAGGCAAGATGTAAGCCATTGATGGAAGCCTGGGTCTCTGGTCTCTGGGAGACAATCTATGCTTGGACCTATGGTACTTAACTTTTTTAAATCAACAACCTGCATAAAAGCATAGATGCTATGCTTACCAAATTTACAGATTACACAAAATTGGGAGGGATAGCTAGTATACTGAAGATTAAAACTGTGAGAGGTAAGAAATGATTGTTTCCATATAAAGAAGTTGAGAGAAAAGGTAGCTTTAGGTCAGAGGTTCTAGAACCAGCTAAAAGTGGATGAAATTGCTTATTTGGTTGAGGAGGCCAGGACAAAGGTTAAGCTTTACTTAGAGTGCACATGTGTAATAGGCTCATTAATACCAACTTCTCTGCCCAGAGGGGAGCAATAGCACAGAACTAGGCATATTTCATACATTAGCAGGAGGAGGGACACATTATGAAGTGGGAGTATCGGGAAGATTGTAACCCGAAAGAGTCTGGACCACTGCTGACTCTGGAGGGAGGAGTAGGACTGACGTAACCATATAAAGCTTGGTCCTGCTTCTGTACAGTGTGTGTGCCTTTTTCTTTCTTTTCTTCTTTTTCTTTTTGGGTATCACACAACCGGTTCTCAAAAGAATTGTAAATAAATAAACGTCCCTTTGTTCACTTCAATTTAAGTTTTGTTTGTTTGTTTCTTTTTTTTTTTTTTGCTAGACAATGGGGTTTAGCAACTTGCCTGGGGTCACGTAACTAGTAAATATTGTGTGTCTGAGGTCTGATTTGAACTCAGGTCCTCTTGAATCCAGGGCCAGTGCTCTATCCACTGCGCCACCTAGCTGCCCCTTAAGTTTTGTTTCTTAAGGGAGGCAGGAACTCCACATGGTACGTTTCTAGGTGAGCAGTGACTTGCTGAACCACGCTTCTCACAAAAACAAAATCTTGAGGCCTTAAATACCAAGTCTTACATTCAGGTTCAAAAAAATCACCTTTACAAATACAAGATGGGGAACGTGTAGCTAGACAGCAGTTTTACTAAAAAAGTTCTGGTAGCTCAATGTCATGGTATGACAGTTAGGAAAGCTACTATTGTAATCTTAGGCTGTCTTAAGGCTGAGGCTGGGGAATTCTAACTCCATCAGACTACCACTGGGTTATTGATTATTCACATTTGCATGCTATATTTTAGGAAAATCATGCTAAACTGGAGAGTTTAGGAGGCCATTAAAATCATGTCATATGGGCAACAGTTGGGATATGTGAGAACAGGAGGGTGATAACTGAATACTTCTGTCTGGACAGCCAATGAAAATGCCTAGAGTCAGGAGATGAAATGTTTTGCTTGAGGACCAGCAAGGAGGCCAGTGTCCAGCACTTTGGACAGATCTTGTGGAAGACTTACTGAAAGATAGGGATTAACTATCAGGGGTGGGGAACCTGAGACCTCAAAGCCACATGTAACCCTCTAGGTCCTCAAGTGCAGCCCTTCAACGGAATCCAAAGGGCCACACTTGAAGACCTAGAGGGCCACATGTGGCCTTGAGGTCTCAGGTTCCCCACCCCTGGACTAGATATACTAGATAGTATAGATGGATAGTCACAAAGGAAAAGTAAGAAGGGATGAGACATGATCTGTACCACAGGAGGGCCACCCATATCAATAAGGTCACAGACAGATGACTGAAGTAACTTTGCCATTAGTGGTTATTCATGGAAATTCTGGGATGTGATCCTGAGAACAGATTGGGCACTAGTCCCCAAGGCGCATTAAGACCCGGAATGCACTCCCTCCTCATCTCAGTCTCCTGGTTTGCGCTAGGCCTCAGAAAAAATCCTGCCTATGAGAAAACCATCCCAATCCCCCTCTCTGCTTGTCCCTCCTCTCAGCTGATTATCTCCAATTTATTCTGTATATGTCTGAATGGCTGTTTTCATGTTGTGTCCCCAAAGGCCAGTGAGCTCCTTCAGAGCTTCGGATGACCTCTCTTTGTATCCCCAGTGCATAACACATTTTATGGCAAACAGGAGGTACTTCATCAATGCTTACTGACTGACTGACTTTAATGGATCAACATCGACTTGGAGGGAGTTGTCTAGTGAAGTACATGAAAGATCTGTCTTGTTCAATGTTCTGACCAGTGGCTTGGATGAAAAATCAAAGGTTCTTAAAGACACAGATATGAGGGATAGTTAACATCCCGTAAGACAGATTCAGGTTCCAATGCTAAATTCAAATCAGAAAGTGTTAAGACACAATAAATGCTAAAAGTTTCTATTTAAAATGATGCTGTCAGTTTTAAATCTATATGCCTATGCATAAGGGACCTAACATTAGAAGGGATCTCAGAAGGCACCCAGCCCAGAGGCCACAACACTCCCAAGTAGGGCCTAAACCAGATCAAAATGCAACTGGGCAACATTTAACAAAATAAATAAAAACACAAGAGAACACAGATCACCACATTAACATGTGGTTTTCTAAGCCACTCTGCAGCCTGCAGGGATACAATCCATTTCTACCCGAGTTTGACACCACTGATCTAGACTAACCTCCCATTTTAATTTTGCAGTAAAATTAATAAAGGAAAATCTCAAAGGATCACAAGAAATTGCTTTTAAAAAAAGTAGGTGATTTCTTCACCACATTATGATGTCAATCTATTTGAATGTATCATAAATCATAAAATTAGATAAATAAGAAATAAATTATATCACTGAAGAGATTAATAAAGAGTGATGATGGCAAAGTAAGCTTATGTTCTATCCATCAATCAGTAAGCATCTATTAAGTGCCTACTATGTGCCACAGACTGTGCCAGAAACACAAAGACAAAAGGCAAACAGTCAATGTCCTTGAGGAACTTGAATTCCCTTGGGGGAAACAATCTGTACATTTACAAATGCATATAAAATAAACACAAGATAAATAAAAAGCAATGGCAGTGAGGGGAGTGCTATCAGCTAGGGACAGCAGCAAAGGATTCCTCTAGGAGGCACCTGGGCTGAGTTTGGAAAGGAACTTGGATTTCTAAGAGGTGAAGGTGGGGAGTCTGGGCCTTTCAGGAATGAGGGAAAGACAAGAAGATGGAAGAAGGAACGCATGAAGAACAGCAATTTACTGTCTATAACAGCACCGAGTGTCACTGCCACACTAACACATTTTTTAGTTGCCATTTGGATCAGACTGTCACGACTCAGAATTGCTATGTAATAGTCCAACATTGTGCATTTTTAATATCTTTAAAAATATTGACACGTTGAACTATTCATAATTAAAACCAAAAAACAAATTATTCACTCCACTACAAACTTGATAGGGGAAAACATAAAGAAGCTTATACAAAGAAAATATACCTTCCTGGATTATTTATTACCTTGTAGGATAAAACTTCCTTGAATGGTTCACTGAAACAGAAAAAGTAATCAGTCATTACTTTATAACAGAAAATGCTAATTAAGAAGCAGTTTTAAATGACTAAATTCCAAAGAAATAACTGACTTATCTGAACAGTTTACATGAGTAAATCTAGTTGTTAGAATCTTCTTCTCTAACGGGGCTAAGGTATAGCATGCTAAGTATCTAATTGGTTTTAATGTATTTCTCTTGTGGGTTGTCTTTGTTTTACCTCTTTCATAGGTGTTTACATTTTTTAAAAAGAACTACAATAATTTTAAAAATGGTTTTAAATTTTCACTATGTGCCAGTCTAAGAAGTCATAGGTCCAGGCCAGTAATTCAGGCAGACGCAATATCCATAGGCACTAATCACTCTTGCTAACTAACCTGGTACTTTTGGTGTGAAATTGAGGGCTTCTCCCTACTTGTCCAAGTATGCAACAGTATTTACTTGTGCATTTCTAAGCTGATGTGGTCTTCAGCATGATTCTCCTGAAAATGATGAGAATCTCTTGTTTGGATTGAAACTAAGTTTTCCCAAAACACCCTAAGAGAATAGGAGAAGAAATTTTAGTGACAATTTTCAGGAAGCTCTGCTGAGTACTACCTTTAATTTACAAATTTACTGATAACTAGAGAACACAGACAGTCATTCTTGTGTATGTATAAGTTCATGAGGTGGTTATAAATTTCCTGAGAAGCTTTAAAATATACATTTATTTATAATTATGCACAGTATTTAAGAGAAAATGAACCAGTAAGTGCTTATATCATTGAAATAGCATTCTACTTCTTTGTCTTTAATTCTCTTTCTGCTTGTTGAGATGTGTGGCTACAGAACAAACATGAGGGTTTGAAGAGAAAAAAGCCATTTTATGACTTATTGCCTTATAAGGATTACTTGAGGTTCAGTGAAAAACGTGTTGTATTTGCTGTCAACGGCCCTGGGTGTGATCCTGGTACTGCTTACTATCAGTATGCAATCACAGAGCTGGTTGGCATAGTAAATAGAGCACTGGGCTTGGATCCAGGAAGTTTTGTGGTCGTTCAGTCGTTTGGGGTTTTCTTGACCAAGACACTGGAGTGGTTTGCCCTTTTCTTCTCTAGATCATTTTACATAAGAGGAAACTGAGGCAAACAGGATTAAGTGACTTGCCCAGGGTCACACACTGGCCTCAGACATCTGATAGCTATGTGACCCTGGGCAAGTCACTTAACCTCCTCAACTGTAAAACAGAGATATAATAGCACCTACTTCCCAGGGTTGTTGTGAGGATCAAATGAGATAATAATTGTTTAGTGCTTAGGGTACTGCCTGGCACATAGTAGGTGTTATATAAATGTTAGCAATTGCTGCTACTGCTACTGCTACTACTACTACTACTGCTACTACAACTACTATTACTATTACTACTACTACCAGCTACTATTTGAGCAATTCACTTGATGTATTTAGGCCTCAGTTTAGTCATCTGTCATATGAGAGGGTTGGATCAGATGACCTCTAGTTTCCCTTTAAGATTTTTTAAGAAAATGTCACATGTCCTCAAGATTTTACTACTTCTGTGGTTTATTTTAGTTTGCTGAATCACAGAACAGAATTTACCAAACTGTCATATTTTGGTATAAAAAATTAAGAGATCAAATTTATATTGTGATATAAGGTTACAAAGCATTTTCTTTTTAAAAGACCTGTGAAGAAGACAGTGCATTAATGTATCCCTTTGGTTGATGAGCAAACTAAAGTTGCTTTTCCAAGGGTCATAGAGGTGACCTATCAGAGTGTCAGAGGCAGGATTTGAACCTTGGTTTTCTCCTTGATTCCCTGGCTCTGTGTGTGTGTGTGTGTGTGTGTGTGTGTGTGTGTGTGTGTGTGTCGGGGTGAAGGTTGGGTGGGAGGAGATGAAGTAGGGAGACTTCCCCTCTTCTCAGTTTGGGATCAAAGTACTTAACAAACAGGTTCTTTGGAGTCAAGGGTGTCATGAACACGTTCTGGCATTCTTCCAGGTATCTTGAAAGGTCACCTGAGCCTTAATCTAACGACCCACTGAATCATTTTTCTGTGTCTCCCTCAGAGATTCAGAAATGCTCAAGCTGGCAATCATCCATGATTCTGACTAGAAGCTTTGAGTTACAGATAAACTGCCAACCTTCAATCGGGAGAGGAAGTTTCCACACTAGGAATTACACTGATTAAATCAGGTCTGGACTAAAAACAAAATAAAGAAAAAAGAAAAAGATCTCTTCCTTTGCTGGTCATATCACTTTCCATTCTGTATTTTTTTTGGTGGGGGGAATTTATATCCACTTGGAATTTGTGATAGAATACCTTAAGATGCTGATTCAGACCTATTTTTCATCAATCTCTTTTCCAGCTTTCCCTGTAGTTATTATTAAATAAAGAATTCTTTCCCTAGTAGTTGGTGTTGCTGTTTTTAGTCTGCCAGGAATATTTGTTTCTAGATGTTCTAGTCTACTCCATTGATCTGATCTCCTATTTTTTTTTTTTAATCTAGTATCAGATAATAATTACAACCTTGTAGTTTGGTTTGAAATCTGACAGTACCAACCCTCTCTTCTTTCTACTTTTTCCCCCATTGATGTTCTTGACCTTTTGTTAATCCAAATGAATTTTATTATTATTTTCTTTGATTCTGGAAAGTATCCTTTTATCAATTTTTCTGGTACAGCATTAAATCTGTATTATAGTTTTAGTAGTATTATAATACTGATTATGTTGGTATAGCCTAACCATGAACAATGAATACTCCAATTACTGAATTGGTCCTGCTGAGTGTATTGGCAAGTAAATTACCAAACAGAATGCATCTCAAATGAAATTTCTCCCCTATCTTTTTTAATAGTGTTTATATTTTTTAATTTTTTTTTTTTTAGTATTTTAATAGTGTTATAAAGAACAGTTTTGGGGATGTATTTTTACCCTGCTATTCTACTGAAATGGTTTGGGCGGGGGGTCATATTTTGTATCCTGCTATTTTACTGAAATTATTATCTTAATTTTTCATTGTCTCTCTAATGTTCCCTAAATTAATCCTCACATCATCTTTTAATTTAATTTTTCTCAATGAATAAAATCAACTTTCTCTTCCTTCCACTTTCCCCTATACTTCCCACTGGGGGAAAAAACCAACATAAAAACAAAATACTTTCAACATGTATGCATAGCATAGTGAAGCAAAACAAATTTTGGCAGCAGTCATATTCAGAAAATATTTGTTTAAATCTGCACCCTGAAGCTGTCAACTCTCTAATAGGAGCTGGATAGCAACCTCATTATCTTTAAATAGGAATAATTTTGGTCCTCTTTGCCTGCCCTTATTTCTTCAATTAGTTTATCTTGTCTTATTGTTATAGCCAACATTTAGCATTTCTAGCTAGTTCTAGGTCAAATACTATAGAGACAGTGGGCCTTCATTTTACCCTTGATCATACTGGGAAAGCTCCTGATGTCTATCTGTTTACAAATAATATAAGCTCTTGGTTTGAGGTATATACATCTAAGCCTTTTCAAGCAAGAACAATACATACCAAATCAAATAACAACGAAAGAACTGCTTCAAATTCCACTGTGCAGATACTTTTTTTTTTAAAGGAGGGACAAGGATGGTGAATTAATAACTGGCTGCCAATTATTTTTTGGTTCTAAATTCAAATAGGAATGATTTCCAGCAAACTAAGTCCCCATTCCTCAATTTGAGAGAGAGCTTTTTAAAAATAAATAAACAAAAAATAAATAAAATGTAAATAAATAAGTAAATATGCCCCAGGCTTTTTTATTTGACCTTGGATTCCCAATCTTACCTTCGTGGAAATGTAAACTTCAGGGTGTTCTGAATGAAACCATAACAGCAAGGGCATGTAACAAAGGCAGCCTGAGTCTTGGTACAATGTTCAATTACCATGTCTGTGGCCACTCCACAAGCATGTAAAGCCACCTAGGAAACAAAACCAAAGCTTAGCGATATGTTCATTGTTCTCTTATAGGGCTAATTTTATGATATCTTGACTACATAGAAATAATTTCCACTTCATTAAGAAAATTTATAATTTCTAGCAGCGAGGACTGACCTCTCAGGAAGCTCTAACCTCTAAACATTTTCACTATTCATTAAATATTTCCTATTATAAACATTCCTAAGGACATCTTTTAAATGATATAGTCACATCAAATATGTTATCGTGAAGCAGATAGATGACATAGTAGATAAGAGTGCTGGACTTGGGATTAGGAAGACCTGAATTTAAATTTTGCCTCAGACACTCACTGACTACAACCCTGGCCAGGTCACTTAACATATCAATCTGTTTATTCATCTATAAGACGAGGAACATAATAGCATATACCTTAATCCGTTGTTGTGAAGATATAATGAAATAATATTTGTAAAATGCTTTGTAAACCTCAAAGGGCTAAAACAGGGGTGGGGAACCAATGGCCTCAAGGCCACATGTGGCCTTCTAGGTCCTTGGGTGCAGCCTTTTGACTGAGTCCAAGTTTTACAGAACAAATCCTTAATTATTAAGGGGATTTTGTTCTGTGAGGTTTGGATTTAGACAAAGGGACTCACTTGAGGACCTAGAGGGTCATGTGTGTCCTCGAGGCCGCAGGTTCCTCACCCCTGGGCTAAAGAAATCATCATCATCTTAATTTATTCACATTAACGAGGAAAATCCACCAGGTTGAAAGACTACAACTTTCCAAGATCAGCGAGTAGCTGCCACAAGAACAACTCATTTGCATAATAGCACCTTATGATTACAAAATGCTTTAAATACAAGATCTTACTTTCTCCTCACAAGACTCCTGTGAGGTAGATATTATCGCCATTTAAAAATGAGGAAACTGAGGTTCAGAGAGGCTTAAGTGACTGGTAATTAGCAGAGTCAAGACATACACCCACATCTCCTGGGTCCAAGTCCACAGCTCTTTTTATCATACCACACTTTCCTACTTGCCCCACATCCTGTGTGCAACATTCAGTCATTTGGAACCAACAAAGAAAGCAAGCATGAAAGTTATTTTATGTCACTTGAAAAAACTTGAGAAAGTTCTTGAGGAAGAAAAGCTAAAATTGCAGTGTGCAACCTAGTAATCTTACCAACTGTAAATTTCAATGCAATTTGTGAGATATTTTAAAGGAATTTATTGAAAAAAAGGCACAAGTAAAACCTTGGTATAGATCTCGTAACTGGAGCCTTCATTGATGTTGCTGTTGACAACCAGTGAAGGGAAAACCACATTCTGACCATTGTTTTTTGTTCCATTTGTTTTCATGGCATTTGTTTCATTTAAGGGTCTTTAGCTCTGTCCATCCAGATAATGTGTAGTGGAGAAAAAGTATAATTATGAGGGTGAATTTGGACAAATAATATGCTATGGAGAAGAATGAATCCTGAAGACTCTGAAAACTCCAGAGGATTGTAGCTATCTTACAGATGACACACAAAACTCTTGCTCTCCATTTCATTTTAGTTGCTGATACACAAACTATGAATCCTGTATAAACCCTGGGCCAAGTTTTTCTCACTCACAACTTTTCTTTCTATTGTTTAAACTCTAACTAACTTTAAAGGGAAGTCAGAATACACAGATGGAGGAGACCTTCTGGAAATATCTTGATGGAAAATAATACTGAGCTAATGCTTCTTCAAGAAGATGCATCCATGTGTATCTGTGTGTATGTAAGTGGGGGTGTATGTGGATTTCTACTGGTCACCTCGAACCACAAAATGCCTAAAACTGAACTCATCATCTTCCCTCTGCCACAACCCTTCCCTCTTCCCAACTTCTCCATTACTGCAGAGGGCACTACCATGCTTTCAGTCACCCAGGCTTGTAATCTAGGTGTCTTATTTTCAACTCCTACTCTCTCTCATTCCTACATTCAATCAGTTGCCAAGTCCTATCATTTCTACCTTTGTCACATCTCTTGTAGTTGTCCTTTTCTCTCTCCTTGCACTGTCACCAGGCTTGTGCAGGCCCTCAACACCTCATGCCTGGACCGCTGCAACTCCCTGCCTCAAGTACGTTCTCATTCCAGGTCATTCTCCACGCACACATCAAAGTGATCTTCCTGAAGTAATTGAAAAATTTAGCCAGCTGACTCCCCTAATATGTTCTTGTCTCCTCCAGGCACACATTCTGTTTTTGAAGTGGAGCAGTGAGTTTGTTTACTTAGTTTGAAAAGAATAACGGAAGAGTAAGAACTTCTTGTACAAATGATCCAAGACTGACAGAGGTTTTTGTTCTATCGAACCTGGAGCCAATTCTTCCTGTCCTCAAAGGAGAGTGGTCCAAGGAAAGGAGGAGAGCAACCTTGGTTCAATGATTTTTTGAAAGCAAATCATATTCGGACTCTATGTAAAATAAAATTAGAAAAGCACACTAGTGAATAACAGCAATGAAAAATTAAAAGAGCATTAAAAAATATTAAAAAAAGACCCCACTACTGTAATTCTAGGATGTTGTGGGCTGAATTAGGAATACACAAACTTTCAGAAATTAAACACAGTCACAGATAGACATATATGTGGCAGAAGCTGGCTCATCTAAGTCCTGAGAGATGACCTAATTAAGTGTGCATGGTTCTGCTGAAAGGACCTGAAGGTAAATTTTAAAATGTAATCGCTAAAAGAATGAATAAAATGTTGTTGCTTCAAAGGTGCAGGCTATAATTTCCTTCACCAAACTTGTTAAATGCCTTAGGTCCAGGATCCTTTCAGAAAATTATCGCTTCCTGTTAAATCTTCCTCCCAGAAATCCTTGAAGTCCTATGGCACCAGAACCTACCCAAACAGAATGATCTGACCAAGGACTTTAGATTTTCTTTCATTTAAAGCTCAGAGCTGCCACGGGCAGCTTCAACAACCCCAGCATCAGCCTTCAAGACTGAGCCTTCCTTAGCTTGATGACAGACCTGCACACGAAAAAAAATGAACACCTTCTGAGGGTAGCTTCTAACTTCTTCAAGAGGGTCTAGACTCATTACTGAGGTTCTCTGAGACACTGAAATGCCCTATTCAGATTCCTTTTCCTTCCTGGGGAAGAGCAGCTATTGCCATGCCCACTTTTGGCAGGTGTGAAGAAGTGAGGGGAAATGAAAACTGATGCCACTGATAAACTATGGAAATACTGAAGAATGTATGAGGTGTTGGAAAAAAAAGGCCACTCAGTTAAACAACTTTATGGGGTTAAGTTTTTAAAAAATTCGTGCCTTTTGTTTTCACATGATTAATTTCCAGTAGAATTCTCTGTGCCCCTCCAATCAATGGAGTGAAGACTATAGAAAAAAAAGTTCAACCAAACCAAGTAAGACAATGATTGTATTGTACATCATATATAATATTCTCCACCCATGGCCCTCCACCCCTTTTTCTAGGGCCAAGTTTGTTAACTATAATTCTGTAGCATTCAGTTTCATCTTATTATTCTTTCCTTCTACTTTGTACAATAATTGTGTATGTTGTTTTCCTGGTTCGTGTTTCAGGTTTCTCTGAATTCATGATGTCCATTGTTTCTTACAGCACAGTCATATTCCATTATATTCATGTACCACAATTTGTTTAGCCCTTCCATTTACCCTTTTAAGTTCTGTTCTGTTAAGACAAAACTCCCAAGCTATCCTGGAACAATAAATGCACACACTAGGCTTGATCATACACCAAAATCCCCTAAAACCTAAGAAAAGCCTGAAACCCCAGAACCAAAAGGAGGAAGGCCTTGCACACACCTCTCTAGACATGGGAGCTCATCTTCCTCCCACCTACTCATAGACTTTTCTTCTTGGGAATTCTCTTTTGGAATCACTCACTCACTCACTCACTCACAAACTTTCTCTTCCCCAAGGCAAACCACATTTAAGGCTTATTTCTCCCACTTGTGAGCAGCTAGCTACTTGCTCTGGGTCCCTCCTTGGAGTGGCCCACCTTCAAGGCACACAGAGTAGCACATGCTTCTACCAGTTGGTAACAGATGCTTTCTGCAAAGACATACCATGAAAACAAACACACATGGTTATGATGAGTGGAAAAAGAATAAAAACTTAACTAACCATGCATTGCCAAGGAAATTTAGAGCTGGATTAGAGATATTGTAGTTCAACATTCTCATTTTATAGATGAGGGACCAAAGGCTCAAGTTACACAGCTAATTAGTGGCAAAACCAGGACAAAGACACAGGTCTTCTTGAGTAAGCATGACACCACTTGTTCTGTTGACTTTCTTGGCCTCTATTATATAACATTAGGCTATACTTTATAATTTGCCATTAGTATAGAATTACCTATTTACCTATGTAGCAATTCTTGGAAGAGTATATATGTTTTTTAGTTTTTCTCAAGTTGTAATTAAGTAGAACAGGATCTACACATTTACGTTGTTTCTCTTTCTTTCTAGATAGATAGATAGCATTTAACCTGGAATCAAGATCTGAATTCAAATCCAATTATAGACATTTCATTTAATAGCTGTGTGACCTTTGGGAAAGTCACTTAAACTCTGTTTGCCTTAGTTTCCTCGACTGTAAAATGGAAATAATAACAGCACTCTTCCTCCCAGGATTGTTGTGAGGATCAAATGAATTAGTGCTTACAGTGGTTTGCAAGCACTTTAAAGGGTACTATAAATACTGGCTGTGATCATCAGCTCTTGAGATACTGGAATTCCTCTCATTTCAGGGCTCTGAAGCAGTGCTCTGGGGACAAAGGAAGAATTTATAGGTCCTACTTCTAGCTCCAATACTGACTTGTCATGAGAGAAAAAGCAATTATCCAGATGCTCACAACCACAGGGGGAGAAAACACAACCTCCTCTGTCTTCGTTGTCTCGTATGGGAGAAAGAAGAGCGGAAGATAAATACATTTAATTTTTTTTCCTTCTTAAACCATCTACTTCCACACTGAGCTGAATCCATTTTCTAATTACATTTGAGACATT